TCTAGACAAGCAGACTCGCCGAGTCCCAACATATGGACTCGTTGAGTAGTGAACTTAAATCGCGTGATCATCCCATCTCTACTCAACGAGTTGGGCTACAGACTCATCGAGTACCCCTTAAGAAATGAAAATACTTTATTTAAATTACATACCAGAAATGGGGCATTACATGAACCATATAAATAGGTGGTAAATACATCCATTAGACATATCTCCACTTTTGCATATGTTGTTAAGCTTATAAAATAACTAAATGTAATTGCATCAACTACCGGAGCATACGTTTCTTCATAATCAATTTAGGGCCTTTGGGTAAAACGTTGTGCAACAAGTATTGCTTTATATCTCACAACTTCATTTTTCTCGTTTCTTTTGCACACAAATACCCATTCGTATCCCACTGTTCTTACTCTGTTTGGTGTACGGACTACAAGTCCAATAACTTTTCGTTGAGTAAGAGAATTAAGCTCTTTATTTATTTCATTTTTCCAGTTTGACCAATATTTTTTATTCCTACATTCCTCAATGGATTTAGGTTCAAGATCCTCATTTTCTTCATACTTTCGCGCGTAACATGATATAAAAAAAATTTATCATCGACGTCTATCTTATTTCAATTTCATCTTATTCCTGTCATGACATAATTTATTGAGATCTTATCATTTTCATTTTTTTTCATGTACCTGATATTCTTTTGTTATGTCATTAGGCTCTTCTATAACTTTATTAATCTGTTCAAGAGATTTTGTTTTCTCTTTTGGACCATCAATTATACTTGATCCCTTTCTTTTTCGAGAGTTTTTTTATCTTTGGAACCGGGTGGTCTTTTATGCTTCAGGCGTACCTTAGATTCATTTGTAGTTGTATTTTTTCCTTATGATATATCAATTCTAATTGATGTATTTATAGCTGGTACTTGAGACTTTATTACTCTCTTAAGGCCAGTAAATGCTTTTGGCAATTGATTTGCTATATTTTGTAAATGAATTATCTTTTTTTATTTAAAGTTCACATTGACTTGAACGAGGATCTAAAACTAAAAATGATAATTCCTTTCAAGAGATTTTATTTTCCAGCTTCTTTATTTCTTTCCCTAATGTTGGAAAATATGATTCATCAAAATAATAATCATCAAATATAGCTATAAATAGATCTCCAATTGATTATTTTTAATATTTTACTATAGATGGAGAGTCATATCCAACATAAATTCTCATTATTCTTTGAGGTAGAGAAATGGGTACATAAATTGCACATCTAAACGTCCTTAGATGGAAATATTTGGTTCCTGGCGCAAACGATTTGAATTGGGGATAACTAATGATAACTGGTTGGCCTGATGCGTATGAGTGATGTTGCATGTAAAATTGCATGCCCCATGTCAATGTAGGAAGTTTAGAATGCATTAGTAATGGTATTGCAATTAATTAAATGTGTTTGATTAACGACTCAGCTAAACCATTTTGTGTATAAACATATGCAACATGATGTTTAATAATTATCCTAATCGACATGCAATAATCATTAAAAGCTTATGATGTAAATTCTCCAACATTGTCAAGTCAAATTTTTATAATTGGGTAATCAGAAAAATGTGCCCTTAGGCTGATTATTTATGCAAGTAATCTTGCAAAAAACAAATTGCAAAAACCAAATTACTTGACAATTTATATAATTTGTAAAATGAAATATTTACTAGGAAATATTCTTTTTGGGATAGAAAATAGAATAAAAAACAGAGTAGAGTCGAAGATAAAACACTATTTACTTATTTTTGGAGAAAAAAAATATAGACGGGTTAGATATGGTCTTATATAATAAGCTATGTTTGAGAATAATTTTCTTTCTTATGTGTGTATATATATATATATATATATATATATATATATATATATATATATATATATTAGTTGTGAAACCCGTATATTATACGGGTTGATTAAAACAAAATATTAAATAGAAACGATTAAATGAGAAGTTTATTTGAATTTGAAATTTGAAATAAATAAAAATTATGAGAAAAAAAGACATGCAAAAAATAAATAAATTAAAATTACTGCTTAGTTATCAGACCCGTATACTAAACAGGTTAATTATAACAAAATGTTAAACACAAAGGTTTAAACTGTAAATTTATTTGAAATTGAAATTAAAATTTGAAATTTAAAATTTGAAATTAATATCATTATGGTAGGTTGAATTTATGGAAGCTAATTATTAATAATATATTAGAAATGGAAAATGAAATAAATGACAAGTGGAAAATAAATATATCTCTAAATTATGACAAAATGACATGTGGCAAATTGAATGAGAGAAGGACATGTGGCAAAATCATTTTTATTTATTAGGGTAGATATATATATATATAAGTCGTTAGGCAATGGTCGGACGGTCGACTGAGGTTAAAAGACTAATCGGTCTAGGTGTTGATTAATCAACACCTATGTGAAGACCATTAATTGTAATAAAACTTATTTATTTTAAATTAAATATTACTTATATTATAACAAAATAAGTAAAAAACCATAAAACTTTGTACATTCAGTCGTTTAAATATTTAAATTATCGTATATAATAATTTTTCGACCAATTGAGAATGTTTTTAATAGTTTTAGTCATGAATCATCATAATTTACTCACCCAATATCATGAATTTGACTGATTGAGTATTTTTTTTTGAAAATTTTGACTGTCTGACTTTTTTTTATCGGCTTAGACCGTCTAAACTGCCTAGGATATCCTACAACCGCCCAGGACCGACTCTGCATAACTTGACTGACTAGCATTAATCGTAGACAGTGAGAGATCGCCTTCTAGACTGATTTTTACAGCATTGATATAAATATATTGAGTTAATGTGTGAATTAAAAAAACGTGAGAACTTGCGACCTAATGATCGGCAGTTGAAAACTATGTGTTAGTAGTCATATGGACTACATATGTCGATACACATACATGCTTATATTATGAACTAGGTGTGAGACCCATGTATTACATGGGTTTAATTAAAAAAAAAATATGAAATTTTAATAATTTGAATAATTTGAATTTATAAGAAAAATAAGAAATTTTTTTGAATTATTAAAATTAATGAGACTTTAATGTATTGAATACATTACACACACATATATATATATATATATATATATATATATATATATATATATATATACTATTTCTAATAAATACTTTACATATATATTACCTTACATATTAAATGTGGAATTTTAATTTAATAAAATGAAAAATACAATAAAATGACAAGTGGAAAATAGAAAATTTAAAAATTCTAGAAAATACCATGTGTCCAAATGAATGAGAAGATGATATGTGTTAAAAAACCTTCATTTATTATAGTAGATTAGTAGTCATATGGACTGTAGATGCAAATATGAATGCATGTATATATATATATATATATATATATATATATATATATATATATATATATATCAACATTTATATTTGCATCCTCAATCCATATGACTGTTGATTCATAAATATTCATAAACTAGGTGTGAGACCCATATATTACATGAGTTTAATTAAAAAAATAAATATAAAATTTTAACAGTTTGAAAATTTTGAATTTATAAGAAAAATAAGAAAAATTTGAATTATTAAAATTAATGAGAGTTTAATGTATTGAATACATTACATATATAAATCATTTCTAATAAATACTTTACATATATATTAGCTTACACATTAAATGTGGAATTTTAATTTAATAAAATAAAAAATATAATAAAATGACAAGTGGAAAATAGAAATTTTAAATTTTTTCTAGAAAATGTCATGTATCCAAATGAATAATAAGAGGATAGGTGACAAAAAACCTTCATTTATCATAGTAGATATATACAAGCATTCATATATATATATATATATATATATATATATATATATATATATATATATATATATATATATATATATATATATATATATATATATATTCTCAGGTGGTTCATGTTACTACCTTGATACCATCGCCCTTGATTTTTGATAAACGATAAAAAAAGAATGACACTGGTTGATAGCTTTAGTTGTGAAAGTAGAATGATGAAAAAAATTTAATGAAAAAGTAGGTTACACATAGCCTAAATAAGATATCATACTTGAGTTTCGATATTAATTTTCTTACTCTCGAAACATTATGATATACCTCATTACCTCTACTAAATACAAACGGCGAGCCTACATTCATCTAAAGGGTGTAATGGACGCCCATGATTTTGGAAAATCTTCTATAAATTATGCTGTACAATTTTAATGAACACTTATTATAAATTTAAATGGTGACAATACAAAAAAAAAAAAATAATAATAATTAAGTAGTTTTGGAAATTTTATACATTAATATTCAACATTAGAAAAGTTTTAAAATAAATAGATTAGCAAAGTTGTATTTATCTTTTTCCAAAACTATATCTTATTGGTAATTTATTTAATTTTTGGTTATGTTCACTTTTGAAATAGTCTTAAGGTTTATTTGTCTATAAGTTAATATGTCATTATAGTTTTTATGTTATTTACAAAATAAGATTGGTGACTAGTTTATGATTGATTGTCTATTATAAATTGAGAAATATATGTTAATTAATATTAGCAATGATAAACTCATATATTGTTTTCAATAGACAAACACTCATTCATGGAGGTTATTTCCCAGATTGTTTATTTTATTTATAGAATAGAAGAATAGATTAAAATGAATTTTGTGTAACTGTAATAGTCATATTTTCAATATGTTTAAATTTTAACCAATAGCACATAGTGCTCATAGAATAAAAAATTAAAACTTCATTAAGTACATATATGAATTAGTAAAGCTCCTTTCAAATTTTTTCATTTCGAATTTCTAATTATTTTCTTTTTATAACGGAATATTTACAGAATCTCCTTTTAGATACCATACCAAATTTTACATATTTATTTTAATTGAAATAAATTTAAAATACCTGTTTAATAATAAATAAATTTATATTAAATCTTTTTATTTTTCGAAAAAATGGGCGACGTTTACAAGGGTGAAAGTAAGAGCATGTTAAGGCGATACTCCATAAGACGACAACTTTGACATCAGAAACAAAGGCCACGTCACTCCGGCCAACTCCCAATAAACCGGGGAAACGACAAAAGCGAGATCTTTCCTCCACCACCGCTGCCGCTGCCGTTGCCACCGCCGCCTCCTCCACCACCACCATTGCACCCTCCTCGACGGTAGGTTTATGCATAAACAGCTGTAAAGACCAACGGAGAGAAACCAAGAGTCTTGCATAGTATGCTGCTTACCTTCCCTTAACATCTCCGTCAACCTTCGCCATTTAAATACTCCATAAAAAGCCACCTCTTTGCCTCTCTTTCTATAGCCAAAAAATAAATAAATTCTCTCTCTTCTTTCTCTCTCTAGGGTTTTGGTCTTGACGCAAAGATCTACCAAACCCACATTCATATTCATGGCTTTCTCGTCTCTTCTCCGATCGACCAACCCACCACCTGTTCTTGAAGCATCCCGTCAATCACTCTCTGCCCCTTCATTTTCTAGCCGATCACAGGTTCTATTTGTTTGTTTGAATTTTTTTTCGTGATGATTTATGCTCCAGTTTTCACTTTCTTCTTTTGCATCGTTTTTAATCCTTTATCTTTCTTCAGGTGTCATCGGTGAAGCTTCAGTCCACCTTATTTGGTGCTGCCGTTTCCGGAGAATCTTCGTCTTTACAGTTGAGTTTTATTTCTGTTCCCTGCTTTTCATTTATTACGATGATCATATGACCAATTGTTCCCCTTTCGCTATTAAAAAAATTGGTTCTTGTTTATCTAATCACGCAGGATATCTCACACACGCTGCATCAATCCAATCAAAGCCACAGCCACTGAGACGCCTCCAACTGTTCCAAGTAAGAACATGTATAAACATGAATTCCATGCCTTGTATCTGTTCGATGTAATGTTTCTCTGACAAATTCCATGTACTTGGATTTTCTATAGAGTCCAGTACCAGTGGCAAGACCAAGGTCGGAATTAATGGTATGATTTCTCAATTTACTGTTGTTTGTTTATATCATCTGCCAATCTCCATGCTAATTTTAGCCATAGGGTATTACAAATTTCAAATTGAAGTTTCAAGATTTACTTTTGAAACACTTTGTTAACTTGAAACTTGATCAAAATTGCAGGTTTTGGTAGAATTGGAAGATTGGTATTGAGAATAGCAACGTTTAGAGATGACATTGAGGTTGTTGCAGTCAACGACCCTTTTATTGATGCCAAATACATGGTAAGGATGAGCTTCAATGTAACTATGACTAGTGATTAATTGCAATTTTAATGGAAGATTTGAATGAGGTCATTTGAGTCCTTCATAAATAATATTGATTCTTAATTGCAATTTTCAGGCTTACATGTTGAAGTATGATTCTACTCATGGTCTTTTTCAAGGAACCATCAATGTTGTTGATGAATCCACTTTGGAAATCAATGGGAAGCAAATAAAAGTAACTAGCCAAAGGTATTTGCTTATTTATTTATTTATCCCTTTTGTTACATGTGAAAGTGAAATGACCTTTTGATCCTTAAGACCTTAAACATCAATTATATATGCTCAGAGACCCTGCAACAATTCCATGGGGTGATTTTGGAGCTGACTATGTTGTAGAATCTTCTGGTGTTTTTACAACACTTGATACTGCTTCAGCACACAAGAAGGTAAACCATCGAGTTTGGTTCACTCTTCTAAAAGACGTTTATACCCCTGGTCTGATTTGATTTTTTTTTTGGTGACAATGACTCAATGTGCAGGGTGGTGCCAAGAAGGTTGTGATCTCAGCCCCATCAGCTGATGCCCCTATGTTTGTTGTAGGGGTAAATGAGTCCACTTACAAGCCAAATATGGATATTGTATCCAATGCAAGCTGCACCACTAACTGCTTGGCTCCTTTGGCTAAGGTACTGGAGTACTATTCTTTTAAGTTCTTCTCTTTCATGTTTTTTTTTATTTTTGTCAATTTTATAAATCAAATTTATTATAAATCAACAATCTTTTAATAAAAGGCTACTCTTTTTTATTTTTATATATAGGTGGTTCATGAGGAGTTTGGTATCATTGAAGGTTTGATGACAACTGTACATGCCACCACAGGTGTTAACATTTATTTGAACCCTCATTTTTCCTTCTCTTTATCTATATATAAAATTTTCATTTAAAATTATTAAATTGCTGTTATATATTATTTGTTTTCAGCTACACAAAAAACCGTTGATGGGCCTTCAATGAAGGATTGGCGTGGAGGACGTGGTGCTGCACAAAACATCATCCCCAGTTCCACTGGTGCTGCCAAGGTTTATATTATTTTTATATAAATGGAATTGTAAATTTTTATATTCTTTTTTTTTTTTTTGTAAATCTTTTTTATAAAATTTCATTTCAGGCTGTTGGGAAGGTGCTTCCGGAGCTAAATGGAAAGCTTACTGGAATGGCGTTTAGGGTTCCAACAGCGAATGTTTCTGTTGTGGATTTAACTTGTCGACTTGAGAAGAAAGCTTCTTATGAAGATGTGAAAGCTGCTATAAAGTATGTTGTTTTTTTTTTTGAGATGTGAATTGTCTTTTTTACCCCTGTAAGTTGATTGCTGTTATTTGTAAATGATGTTTGTTGGTGATTGAAAATTTGAAGGTATGCCTCTGAGGGTCCCATGCAAGGAATTCTCGGGTACACTGATGAAGACGTTGTGTCCAATGATTTCGTTGGTGATTCCAGGTCTTTATTATTATTTTTTTAAATTTAAATATTTAATTTTCATATTTGAAATTGTTAGCAATCTTTCTCATTTTTTTCTTTAAAAAAATATATTTTGTAGGTCAAGTATTTTTGATGCGAAAGCAGGGATAGGGCTAAGTGCGTCATTTGTGAAATTAGTGTCATGGTATGACAACGAGTGGGGTTACAGGTACATAAAAACACATCTTGTCTCTTTTTCACTATTTGTTTGTTACATAACACAGAATTGGATACGACAGAACATGTTGTACTGTGTTTGACTTTAACTGATTAGGGTTTATCTAATTATGTGCAGTAATCGGGTGTTGGACCTGATAGAGCATATGGCGTTGGTGGCAGCGGTTTCCGCCTGAGTTTGTTTCAAGGGCAAATATGTCTTTTCGTTGCATTTTTTTTTCCCGTGAAAAAGCTAGTGTAGAATTGAATGGATGACTTGATGTTTGAAATAAAGAAATTTATCTACTTCATACTTGTCCTTATATGATAAGATTTGTTTTGCATTTACTTAATTTGCACAAAAGAATGATTAGAACGATTTTAATTTTAGTGTTTGGGTAAAAATGATTTGTCATTTTGATTGTCTGGTTATTTGGGGGTCTAGGGCCAAATGCAAGAATAGAAGACTTCTGAATATACAATCAAAGGAAAATTGCAATATTAACCCTCCTTTTAACCTTAAATTTAGGATTTTATATATATATATATATATATATATATATATATATATATATATATATATATATATATATATATATATATATATATATATATATATATAATCCTTAACTTGATTTACTTTCAAGATTTTCAAAATTTCATTATTATTTTCCTCTTACATCACATCTTTTTGACGAACATCAATTAGGCTATATATATTATAGTTGAAAATGAAAATTATGTAAGAGGAAAATAAATGTGAAATTTATAAATTTTTTTGAATGAAATCAAGTTAGAAGTTGAATTATAAGATAATTAGACAATTACAATATATATATATATATATATATATATATATATATATATATATATATATATATATATATATATGATACAAAACGATGTAGTATTGTGAGTTTGGGTACGCTTATATACCCTTAAGGGTATATTTATTTTTCCCATATATATATATATATATATATATATATATATATATATATATATATATATATATATATATATATATATATTGATTGTTGGAATCATATATGGTTATCTTTTAAAAAGCATATTGACAAATATATGCAAAAAAATATTGTTAAGATTGAGACCATGATTGTACGATCGTACAAGTAAAAAACAATATAATAAGATCAGTTTTGGAGTAAGATAGAACTTAAGAACTTAAGATTGTATAATCTTACAAGTAAAAAACAATCTGATAAAATTAGTTTTGGAGTATGATAGACCTTAAGATCGTGCATAGATACGATCTCATTGGTTCTCTTAATTTTGGTGTTTGGTGTCTAAAAGACTAAAACCGCAACATCTAAAGTTTATTCAACCTTACCATATGATCTTACATGAGGGGATGGAATATCTTAGTTGATAATTTTGCCTTGAGAATTTGAGCTTGGCATGTTCCTAATCATGGTTGTGAAAGGAATTGGAGTGTTTTTGAGTTGACAACTTATAAGTTACAACACTTCCATTTCAATCGTAATCCTAGAGGTTATAAGAGAACATTGATTACAATTACAAAAATCACCGATTTTGTATATATGATATACTATAACTTGAAGATAACTAGAACTTAAGGAAAAAAAAGCTTGGTAATGATGTAACTAGACTTAAAATTGAATTTTGATGGTGTTAATTCCAATAATGAATGACTTTACGAGGATAAATTTTCTCATGAAGTGTGGATTAACTTTTTTATTGGTTCTTCAAGTCGGTATCAAGCACACGATACAAACTGAGATGATGACTTCTTTGAAAAAGTCAAAAGAGAGGTCGAAGCTGTAATAGGTATCAAGGTTGACAAGTACGGAGGCTCGGACTTAGTGATGAGAAAAAAGGGAAGAAGGAAGATGACTATTCCAATGGAGGTGGAGAGTTGAAGAGGAAAAAAAAGGAAAAGGACCTTGATAGAGGGAAAAAGCAGGAACACCACCTTACCCACTTTGGTACCTACAATACATTTTCTCCAACCGGAACAACTATGTGCACCCTAAGGTATTGATCGTGTGACTCATTATTTTAAATGTTGTATAAATACAATTTTAGGAGTATAAAATATACAATTTACTTTTTTTAGAAACATTAATATACTTTTTTTCGATGTATACTACATATTTTTATGTAGCTAGAAATATATCAATCAAAATAATGACATTTTTGAAAAATATTAATATGTTTTTTATAAGTATAAATACATATTTTTACATAGCTAGAAGCATATCAATAAAAAATGTGTTTATGTGTAAAAATTTAGTTATACTTCAAAAAACCTAAAACACACACTCACTCACACACACACACACACATATATATATATATATATATATATATACACACACACATACACACACACACTTTCATAGAAGTTTAAACACAAACTTATGCTTCTAAAAAACATAAAAGTACATACTTATACTCCTAAAAGTATATCTATACTTTTAAAAATATAAAAATACATATTTATACTTTAAAAAGGTAAAAACACGCATTTATAATTCTAAGAAGCACGAATACATAAAAATATGTATTTAGAAGCATAAATATGTATTTTTATATTTTTAAGAAGTGTAATTATTTTTTAGAAGTATAAATACATATTAATATTTCTTTAGAAATATAAATATATATCTTTATGTTTTTAGACGTATAGAGATATAAATATGTAATTTTGTCTTTTTAGAAGTATAAAGTATAATTATGTATCTATACTTCAAAATACGTATTTATATTTCTAAAAATATATTTATATGATATTTTGTTAAACTTTGTTTCGTGTATAAACTATGTTTTTCTACATTAATACATATATGATGAAAAAAAACATCCTGAGGATAAAAATATAAAAGATTGTAAATTTAAAGTTTTTTGTTTACAAATTTTGTTTGACAATAACTTGAAAAACGATATTATAATAAAAAACGACAGAAATAAAAAAAAAAACTTTAAACTTTAAACATTAACAAACAACAATTGTAAAATAACTTTGACATTTATAAAAACTTTTATGTCAAAAACCGTTTTATAAATTTGGTAATGACCAATGTTTTCCAAGTCACAAAAATCGTTTATCTGATTATAAAAATTTATACAACAAAAACACATTCTAGAATTGTCGGACTTATTTTGTTAAAATTAATTGTATTATCAAATATTTTATAATAAACACTGCAAAATGCAAACACCCATTTTCTTGTTGGACATGGAGTGTTCGTCTTAAACAGTGAGGTCTTCCATCGCCAGCCGCCTGCCCTTTCCACCATTTAAATACTCCCAAAAGGGCTGCTCTTTCAACCCAAAAGCCACATTTTTTTTCCTTATTTCTCTCTCTCTCTCTCGCTAGGGTTTTTTCTCCTTTTAAGCATACCCAACGCAACAGAGATCTTCTTCTACCAACCCACATTCATGGCTTTCTCATCTCTTCTCAGATCTACAACCCCATCTCCAGTTCTTCAATCCTCCCACCACCAATCGCTTCCCACCCCTACAAGATCGCAGGTTGCATTTCTTTCCTAAACTTTCTTCTCACCACCTTTCTAATTCTGTCTTGTGGGGTTTTTCCTTTTCCCCTTCTTCCTTATCATCATTTCTCTTCTTGCAGGTATCATCTTTAAAATTTCAATCCGCCGTTTTTGGAGCTGCCGTTTCTGTGAACTCTTCGTCGTCTTCACAGTTGAGTTTTGTTTTCGTTTTAAGGTTTTTTCGTCATCTGTTTCCATTTCCTTTTCCATGAAATTAATCCCTTTCCACGTTAATCACGCAGGAAACCGCATGCATGCCGTATCCAATCAATCAAAGCCACTGCCACTCAGGCACCTCCTGCTGTTTCAAGTAAGAAGATATATAAGCGTTCATAGCATGCCTTGTATCTGTTCGATGTTATGCTGAAGCTACCATTTAACTTTTTCCTCTAACAAATTCTACCTACTTTGATTTTCCGTAGAGACCAGTACCGGAGGGAAGACCAGGGTTGGAATCAATGGTATGCTTTCTCAAGATTATTACGTTTTTCACGCTATGTTTCCGGATTTACTTTCGAACAATTACTTCGTCAGATGAAATTAGTAATATAATGGTCTTGATGTTTATGCATATGTTTATCCATGGGTATAATTCGAAGAACATTAACCTTGCAGGTTTTGGACGAATTGGAAGATTAGTTTTGAGAATAGCAACATTTAGAGATGATATTGAGGTTGTTGCTGTCAACGACCCTTTTATTGATTCCAAGTACATGGTAAGGGTTTAAGCATATGATGATTTTGTAAAAAATACACCAATTCATTTAAAAGACAACTGTGTGAGATGATTTATGATTCCCCTTTTTAGGCTTACATGTTGAAGTATGATTCTACTCATGGCTTATTCAAAGGAACCATCAAGGTTATTGATGAGTCCACTTTAGAAATCAATGGGAAGCAAATCAAAGTAACCAGCCAAAGGTATATATTTATTTATTTATTTATTTATTTTTTAAAAAAAATACCTAATAATCAATTTGTGTTCAGAGATCCAGCCACAATTCCATGGGGTGATTTTGGAGCTGACTATGTTGTAGAATCTTCAGGGGTTTTCACAACACTTGATAAGGCTTCAGCACATAAGAAGGTAAACCATTAAATGTTCTTGGTTTTAAGTTATACAAAAGACGTATATACCCCTGGTCTGATTTTGTTTGTGTGAATGACTTGATGTGCAGGGTGGTGCTAAGAAGGTGGTGATTTCAGCTCCATCAGCTGATGCACCTATGTTTGTTGTAGGGGTAAATGAGACAACATACAAACCAAATATGGATATTGTATCCAATGCCAGCTGTACTACTAACTGCTTAGCCCCTTTAGCCAAGGTACTTTTCTTTTCCTGTATGGATAAAATGGCTGAATGGTTAAGTGCTTAATTCAAAAAGAAACAGCTCTTAATGTTTTTTATATAATGCCAATCCCTTTATGTATATAGGTGGTTCATGAGGAGTTTGGTATCATTGAAGGTTTGATGACAACTGTACATGCCACCACAGGTCTTTACATTTATTTGAACCCTCATTTTTCATTCTCTTTATCTATATATATATATAAAATTTTCATATAAATTTATTAAAATGTTGTTATATATTATTTGTTTTCAGCTACACAAAAAACGGTTGATGGACCTTCAATGAAGGATTGGCGTGGAGGACGTGGTGCTGCACAAAACATCATCCCCAGTTCCACTGGTGCTGCCAAGGTATATCTTATTTTTATATAAAATGGAATTGTAAATTTTTATATTCTTTTTTTTTTTTTTGTAAATCTTTTTTATAAAATTTCATTTCAGGCTGTTGGGAAGGTGCTTCCGGAGCTAAATGGAAAGCTTACTGGAATGGCGTTTAGGGTTCCAACAGCGAATGTTTCTGTTGTGGATTTAACTTGTCGACTTGAGAAGAAAGCTTCTTATGAAGATGTGAAAGCTGCTATAAAGTATGGTGTTTTTTTTTTTTGAGACGTGAAATGTCTTTTTTACCCTTGCAAGTTGATTGCTGTTATTTGTAAATGATGTATGTTGGTGATTGAAAATTGAAGGTATGCCTCTGAGGGTCCCATGCAAGGAATTCTTGGGTACACTGATGAAGACGTTGTGTCCAATGATTTCGTTGGTGATTCCAGGTCTTTATTTTTTTTTTTTAGTATTTAATTTTCATATTTGAAATTATTAGCAATATTTCTCATTTTTTTCTTTAAAAAAAAATATATTTTGTAGGTCAAGTATTTTTGATGCGAAAGCGGGGATAGGGCTAAGCACGTCATTTGTGAAGTTGGTGTCATGGTATGACAACGAGTGGGGTTACAGGTATGTAAAAACACATGGCCTCTCTTTCTCATTGGATCGGACATGACATACCAGAAGAGAACAGGTTGTACTGTGTTTGAGTTAACACTGATTGATCGATGTGTGTTGTGTTGTGTGCAGCAACCGGGTGTTGGACCTGATAGAGCATATGGCGTTGGTGGCAGCAGTTTCCAAGTAGTTAAATTAAGGAAGGAGTTTTCTTGATTTTTTGTTTTAGACACCATCTCTTATAGAGCGTTCTTGTCTTGTTTTTGGGTAGTTTTCAGTTTAGTTAATTTGAGATGAAATGTTTACAAATAAAAGATATATAAAAATAATAAAAAATAATATATGGTTGGCGTTTGCTTACCTGATGTTATTATATATTTTGGCATTGTGTGCTTTTATTGTTTGTAATTTGTTGGTCGCTTTCATCCTTTGCCAAAACAAGATTTGGCTAGGAGATGTGGTCGCTTGGCTAGTTATTGGGAAATAAAAGATATAAATTTTTAGAGTAAATTACATGTTTGGTTCAAGATGGATGTTTGCCAAATTTAACACCTTTTTTGTTTCTTACAAAGATAAATCCCTAATCCAAACAGCCATAACAATCCTCAGGCCTCATGTGCCTTGCACTCCAACAATGGTATGCTTGCAGGAAGAATCATTGGGTAGTGCTTCAAGTTTTCAAAATGCTTACCAAAAGGAAAACATCAAGATTTATACAACATTGTAATAAAACACATCCTAATGATCCAGTGTTGGTGCCAAGACTTGATTCTTGTTAGGGAAGACAAAGTCACAAGCGGATTGACCAGTGGGATGTGGCGGTACCGCTGGTATGTGATTCCTTCTCTGGCGGCTCTGTTAATGACATCTCATCAATTTGGAGAACCCGATGTTAATGTATGCGAATTGTTTTAAAGCTTATATGTGACTCCCTGCATGTTTCCTTTATTTTGTTTACAATTAAAACTATGTGTAAAAACCTGTGTAATTTATTATAATATTTATTACATTTGATACTTTACATATATAAGTATAAGATCATGTGACTTTTTAATTTTAAAAATTGAAAAAAACCATAAATTGACGTGAATATTATTTATTTAAAGAAATATCACAAAATAACAAATATCAAAACTTATTAGAAATTCATATGTTGCAAAAAAAACCTTCATTTATTAAAGAATATGTGAATAGATTGAACATACCAAAAGTCAATGTGAATTAATTGATTGAACAATACATTTAATTGTTTTATCCATCTCTCTTTTTTTTAATAAAACAATACAAATATACATTTTCTTCTTTAGAATTTCAAAATCCAAACTATTCGTCATACCAAAATTATCCATAACAATATTACTCGGGTTGGAAAAGATGGGAGTGAGAGGAGAGAGAAAAGCTGATGTGACAGTGAGTTGAGTGGGTTGGGAGGGAAAGACTCCCTCCACCCTTATGACAACAAGGTATGGAATTGAATCAGTTTTAGAGCATTACGGGTCTTTGGTTGACCTCCTGGCTAGATCTAGGCTCATTACGCATTACGAGGCACTAGATGTGTTTTCCAACATGGTAATTAAGCCTAATGTGGTGATTTGGAGGAGTATTCCTGATGCTTTTTCCAAGAAAAGTATGGGAACTAAAGTAAGTGGAGAAGTTGCAAGAAAGATTATTGAGTGTGAAGAAGGGGGTAAGTTTAGTGATGTTTATATGATTTTATCAAGAGTTTATGCAGTGACTTGTAAGTAGGATGAGGTTGGTTCTATGTGGAAGATGATGGTTGTTAAGCGTGTAGGAAAGACCCTACCAATATTGAGGTAGATGCAGTGACAGACTGACCATTTAAGTGGGGTGTATGGATTCCACTTGAGAGTGAGTCTCACCTTATTTAGCACTGTAAAACCTCTAAAAACTTTATTTTTTACTAACCCCACGTCCTGGGCATCCACTTATACAAAAAATACCTCTCATTTGATATTTTTTGTTGAAAAAAAACCCAAAAATACATTACATTTTCATAAATTTGCACTTATATATTTTTTATGTTTAATAGACCCTAGTTAAGTTTCATGTGACATTTCATTTTTAGATTCTATATGTTTAGTGATTAATATTTTTATTGCATATAAGATCATTAACATGTCACCTACAAAGAACTCTTTATTCATTAGTTGTCATTGATCTCATCTTTGTTCAATAAAATTTTGATTCTAGTAGCTTCTTGTTACTTCTGCATCCATTTAACAACTAGATTTGGTGGTATCATGTCGATCCCTTACATTGATGGTGCTTTCATTTAAACCATGTTTTGACATAAATAATGTTACTGTTCTCATATGGACAACGTTTTAATTGTGAATTGTTTTAGTTGCTAAAGAATGGAGCTTGATTGTTCTTGATACTTACTGGTTATTAATTAGCATGATGTGAACGGATACTTGATGCCTATAATGGTTGATCCTTATATTGATTGATTTGATTAATATTTAAATTTTTAGATATCTGGTTTTGAACATCTCTACTTATAAGGATAACAAACTTTACTCAATATATTTCTTTTTATATACATATGACATTTAAGCTTGTTTATCTCGTTCACAAAATACCATTATGACTGATTAGTGTAGATCATAATAGTATTTTGTTAACAACTATTGCTAAAGAAAACGATGTCAAATGGAGTTGATCAACTTACAGCTTTTTGGCAGCACATAAGTTCATGCAAACATTTTTATTAAAATTCTGTTTTTCTACCAAATAAACTTTGTTTTTTTGTTCTGAAACTAAAATCTAAACACCCCCATAATATTCTAGTTGTGGTTTAATCTTGTATTTTATTCTCATTATATCAAAATACTCACGATCTTGTTGAGTCAACCTACAATGGCTACACACAGTCAAGATTCCCAAAAAAAAAGTGATTTCATCAGGTGAAATATTGTAGGATTCCATCATTTAGAAACTTGAAATCACATTCATAGCAAGACCTCATGTTCACAGCACATTACTCTAGTGAAATATATAAAAGACACAAAATAATAAACTGCAAGAAACAATCCAAAATTCAAATAAATTAAGGTGATTTATGCAGTTGACATATAATATTTAATATGATATGGCACAAGGTTCAATCATGAATGTCAATAAGCCACCCTATTTGCTTTCTGTTTTATACATACGACAATATGTTTTTCCTCAAATCATAAATCATAAATCATTTAAATAAATAACAAAACATGAGACTTACTTACTTCACACAACTCGACCCTTTTCAATTATGCCATTCTCTATCAAATACTCTACAAATTCATCAATTAGATATGGCCAAGCACCTTCAGCATCATAATTCGCCAGTGTGGGGTCCACACTCTGCACAAAAATCAATTTAATACATAAAAATTATTCTTTTTTTTTTTTATCACTACATAAAATAACTTAAAATGGCTATAGAATATAGATAGATCTTTACTCTTGCAAATTCCAACAGTTGAGACCAGGTGTCACGAGAAATAGCTTTATTATGGCGTGCCTGAAAAAGTTAAAACAAAAATGCATTTATTTTTATTATAATTTAATGTTTTAATTTATATCATGAAATAAATAATCTTTTTTTTTATTACCTGTAAGAATTGGCACCAATGATCAACCAATGGCCACTCCTTTTCTTCAAACAACAACTGCCACATTCCTATTGCTGTATCCAATGCCAGAGACTTTTGACCCTGAAATAATCAAATAAATAGTCAACTACACATTCATATGTGCATACAATACAAAAACTTAAATACATATATATACACACACATACACATACATACATACAACACGCATATATCTATGTGAATGTTTGTGTGTGTGTGTGTTTATGGATATTCATATACCTTCTCCTTTGCCCAGCCAAATGCAAAAATATAAATCTCCTTGAATTTTTCTGATTTAATAACAGATAAAATATTAGATCAAGAAAATAGCATAATATGCAACATTTCTAGTAATCTTAAGTGCTTTTTTTTGTTCTCATTAAGATTTGCATAGGTAGTGATGTCGTCCAAATAGAATGTTTTATACACGAGTTATGTTTCTTTTATAGACTGAATAAACCATTTGCATGAGAATAAATGACAATTTTACCCTTACATTCCAAAAAAAAAAAAATACAATTTTCATGAATATTAACGTGAGATGAATAATGATACATACGGTCATCTTTGAGCTCAGATCGCATAAATGGTATCCGTTCACGGAACTTGTCAAGTGAATCTATCCTGTAATGAGAAGGTGTATAAATTAATATTCATTTAAATTATTAATATATGAATTTCAATCTACAAAAAGACTACAAAATGTATCTTAATATTCATTTACCCAAGGGACTGCAATCCACCAACAAACTCTTGCTTTGTGAACTCACACATGGTAGCAGCCTTCATGTGCCATGAAACAACCAACTGAAGTAGCATCACAAAAATCAGTCAGAAAAATGTATTTATTTAATAAACTTTTCTTTAAAGGTCTTTCTTTTAAAAGGAAAAAAAAGATCTTTATATATATGCATAGTGATGATGCATTAATGCGCCTTTATTTATTTATCAGGTCAACACTTATAGTAAGTTGGTGCTTTAAATTAATAAACTTATGTTTTAAATATAAACTTTGACATACCATAACAATATCTTGAGGATCGACCTGTCAGAAAGATAACAAGTTATCAGTTTAGTATTTGTAAAGAATCCATCATTGATTGAATAATTTCAACTTATTTTAGCAAATATGTTGGGGAGTTACCTGAAGGTCATTGCATAGGGTGCTAATACCATCAGCCATAATCATATCAGCATAAGGATCTAGAAAGCAACATAAGAGCACAGACGTTTAAAAAATAATGAACTATATTATAAATAAAAGAAAAAATGACAATTATAATGGTTAACAGTTAACTTGCCTTTGTATCTATTGTACATTTCCTCTAAGTGTCTTGTATCTGTGAATGATTTGGGGTGAGGCTGACTGTAGAACACATCAAATGCTCCATCAAGATGCCAATCACTGGCCTTCAAGGATTGAAGAGCAACTTTTTCACTGCATTTAGAAACATGGAAAAGAAACAAGCAACATATGATAATAAATATAAAAAGTTTCCATATAACATGTTGAAAATGGTTGACTTTGTAGAACTGATGACAATATGTCAATATGAATGTAAAAAGTTAACAAATTAACACAAGTGTGTCACCTTGCCCCAGTGATTGTCATGAACTGTTGAACCTTGTCGCGATGTCCTCTGCCCAATTTGTTCTTTTGGTAATAATGAAAACAGAATGTTAACAACAAGATCGATAAACAAGGTAACTTTTGATATAAAAAATATATTTGAACATGCAAAATTGCAAATAACTAGTTTTGATGTCCACCTATAGAAAAGGGGCGTTTGTTATGGAACTAAGTATATGTATTAACTATTAAGAGCTAGGTATTGGATTATGAAATATCAAAACTGTAAAAGGATGGAGACTCCGACTGATTTTAAGTGCTTTTACACATTGATTATGAGGCTACTAGAGATTAGGAATATATGTAAGATGATTTCAAGTGAATAAGAAATCAATCGCTTTAACTTTAGAATCAGTAGCAAAGGATTGATGACCACATTAATGTCCAGTAAAAGGGGTATTAATAAAGATTTAAAACCAGTAAAAGGGGTATTAATAAAGATTTAAAACCAATAATAAGATATTCAATACCAAATGCATATTAGATTCAAAATCACTCTGATTACGGGAAGGAATACGAAGCACTAACTGAGCTACACCCATATCCAGAAACTTCAATTACGATCAAAGAGTCGGTGATCTACGACCCCGAGGAACTAATTTACGACATCGAAATAATCAGAAGAATTTTTTATTGAGAAATGAAGAGAAAAGAGGCAACCAACAACAGAAGTGCAGCGTTGTAAGGTATGCATGGAAGATGATGTTTTTGAACAATGACTAACCATCTTGAGATTGCTGGCGAAACCCTAACCCAATAGATATCCCGATGATCTGTAGAAGTAATGACACCAAAATTAGGGTTTCGTATCCTAGGGTTTATGATTCTCTCTCCGCCACTAAACGCAATAATCTATCTCGCTGATAGAAGCCCCACTGTGTGAGTCTATCTTCCCCGATTCTCAATTATGAGTGTTTTCTCGGCTACCAGAAGCATCCACGGCTTTAATTCGTCCCAAGCACGCACAGTAGCAACGTCGTAGCTGTGTTTCGTTTATTAACTTCTTTTATTTATTTATTTATTTATTTATTTTAAAAAAACCATAAATCCATAACTTTAGGGTTAATGATGCTCAAGGAGTGTAGGGTTATTAATTAAGGTTAATTACCAAACATATTAGGATTAACTAGGAAAGAATCCCGCCCTTGCGGATGTTGAAGTTACAGAGGGTTATTTCATATTCTTTTATTACCCATTGTTATTTACAAATCTAACCACATTGGTAATACAAGTGAAACCCAACGATATAGTTCCAAATGTTGTTGGTGTTAATCTGTGCAAATTAGAATAAATCGTTCAACAATCATTAGCAATAAAAATCATCATAATCCATAATTGAATATCACATGTAAGAGGAAACACAGAAACATCAAGATCCATAAGTAAAATTTTCCATTTACACCAATTGATCTCTCTGTAGCATCAACTAAGTATGATTTAAAGTTTTTACCAAAACGATTCCAACACGAAGGGCTTTAAAAAATTCTTAATAACTCATCCAATAACTTTAAAAAAAGAAAGAAATGGAAAACATAAAACAACGGGGAAACATTATAAAAAGGAAACATCAACAATCGTAAACAAATCAATATATAAAAAGGACCTCAATGTAAGCTACAACCACGTCAGAATGTTTTTCATTAGTCTGTGCAATAAAAATGTCCAAGAAGACAGACATGTAACATCTCAAAATTCAAGGTTGGAAGTTTTATTTTTAAATTAATTTATTATAAAACCAACAGTATAAGAAAACATCCATAATAACATATCATGTCAAAACCAGTATGTCAATAATCAAAGCATGTCATCATAAAACCATATCAGAGTATAATCCTAAGGATCTCATGTGCGGAAAACATAGTGTGATGCGCTGCGATCGAGCCGACTCATTTCCTTTGAAAACGAAGTACCTGAAACCAAAACTGAAAACCATAAGTACGAAGCTTAGTGATTTCTCCTATCATACCACATACCATATAAACACATAATGCCTAGCATATCTAGGTGCTGACCTCCCTTTCGGTATCTTTCAACCGGTAACTGCCTAGCATATCTGGGTGTTGGTCTCCCCTTCGATATCTTTCAATCGGTAACTACCTAGCATATCTGGGTGCTGGCCTCCCATTCGATATCTTTTAACTGGTAACTTTGGAGTATTTCACCCCTACCATTACCACATAATAACA